AGTCTGGCCTGCTCATATCCCGGGTCCTCAGATTCTTCTAGATCAGCAACCTCTGGCAACTTAGTAGACAATTTCATCCCGAATAACAGTTCTGCTGGGCTCTGGCCAGTTGTTACATGCGGGATGGAACAGTAGGCCAGAAGATACTTATTCAACTCTAGTCTCCAGTCTCTCTTCTCAGCATGGGCCACTCTCATTGTTTTCAAAAGGGAACGATTTTGTCTTTCGACTTCACCATTTGCCCTAGGCCATAGAGGTGTGGTCGCTCTATGCTCGATGCCCATTTCATTCAAGTATTCTTCCATTTCTGCGGACACTAGGTTGGGTCCGTTGTTCCTTCTCAGGGTATTAGGTACCCCATATCTGGAGGACTGTTTATCTAAACACTTGATGATCGTCTCAGATGTAGTAGATTTAATGATGTCAACCTCCACCCATCCGCTGAAGTAATCCACTAAGACCAGCAGATATTCTCCTGTTGGCATAGGCTCGAGTAAGTCCAGTCCTAGATCATACCATGGCCTCTCTGGCATCCTGGTTATTTTAACAGGCGGAGTGATTGTCTCCTTGGTGACCAATTGGCACCCGTAACATTCCCGTCACTTCTATTCCACAGCCTTATCAACTCCTGGCCACCACACTTTAGACCTGAGTCTCTCCTTCATTTTGACGATTCCGTGGTGACCTTGGTGCGCGAGTTCTAAAACAATTAATCTCAGCACTTTGGGTATCACAATTCGTGTTCCACGTAATATAACTTGACCAATGACCGTCAATTCGTTGCGCACCATCAAAAATGACGTTGGGCCCTTCTCCCAATTTCCACTAATAAGGCAATTATACACTGCTTGTAACTCTTCATCCTCTGCAGAGGCATTCTCTATCTCCTGGATCTTAATGGCTACGGGAACTGCTTTAAGAGTAACCATCCGAACATCGTCATAACGACATTTCTCTGATGCTTGGAGCGTTGACAGACGTGACAGAGCATCAACAATATTATCTCGTGATGCAACGCAGCGTACCTTTTAACTATATGGTTGCAACCGCAACACCCAGCGTTCAATGTGTGCTGATGGCTTGCATCCTCTAGAGAAAATCACCTTTAAAGCCTCATGATCTGTCACCAAGTCAAAGGTCTTCAAGCCGTAGAAGTATTGGTTAAACCATTCGCACGCCCGCACTAGTGCGAACGCTTCTTTTTCTGTCTGACTGTATCTCCTTTCTACGCTGCTAAGGCTCCTGCTGGCGTAATAGACGGCTCTGCCCACACCGTTCTTCTCCTGGACTAGCACTGCACCTAGCCCACCGGACTTGCGTCAGTTATTACTCGAGTATGTTAAAGTATGCCAAAACAGGCGCCTTGGCTAACTGCAGTTTCAGTTCCTGAAATGACGCTTCTTGCTCACTGTCCCGTACAAAGGGTACTCCCTGCCTAGAGATCGCTCGTAGAGGTTCTGCAATGGTGGCAAAGTTGGGAATAAAAAGTGCACTGAAGCCGACCATCCCCAGGAAGCTGCTAACCTCTGTTGGTGTGGTTGGTCGGCTTGATTCAAGTACAGCACGGAATTTCTCTTCAGTTGGACCGATACCGTACTTTGACACTAGAAGTCCCATGAAGACTACTTTGTCCATCCTGAATAGCCCTTCTCGCATTTGTGTCTGCAATGCAGAGGGTCCGGGGAGTTACAGTTTCAGGACGAGGCTATCGGGTCAACGTTTCTCGAGAAACACCAGAAA